GTGTGAGAGGGTGAGTCATGGCATATTTGTAGAGAGGCGGAACAATTACGGTGGGTTAGTGTCACCAGCTCGAAAATATATATTTGAACACAATTCGACTTTTTCCGAAGAAAATCCTCCCTTTTCATTATACAGCTGGCAAGACATACCACTTCTACTCTATCACAGCTCAGAATCTGGCTCGAGTCAGAAACATTTTGAAAAAGGACGACAGAAGAAGACTTTGCATGTACGAGACTCGTGCTGTTTTAATGCTCGTATTTTATCCAATGTCCCCTCTTGAAGAGAGATACAAGCATGACCGGTCCGGCAGTGATCAGGAGTAATATCATCTCCCTGTTTTCGTTCAACCATCTCACAGATCGAGGGCGCCGATACGTCGATACAATATTCGGCGTCCACTTTGGGCGCCTTACTGCTGTGCAGTTTCACTAAATGTAGCGACGGTTTTCTTTTTGGCGGAAAGGAGGAAATTGGAACACAGCTCCGTAGGAGGTTGGTCGAAAAGCGCCAGAAGTTCCAACTTTAGTACTTGACTTGGGTAGAGTATTCAGCAAATAATTCGCCATTCATATTACGAAGACAGTCATTTAGTACGGAAGACTTATCACCAAGTTGATGAGCAAGTCGATGATCTTCGTTACGTAGCGACGCTTGGGGCTTGCTCCATGTAAGTGGCCCCTTTAACCCACTATTTGTTTCGGCATCTCTGGCCGGCCGATTAAAAGAAGCAGCATCGGTACATAACAATCTTTCCCAACCGTTCGGTCTTCGGTCTGGCGTTTGGCATAGTTCTATACTGTCGCCTATTCTGTTCAACTATGTTACTGACTGGATTCTCGGAAAGGGACTGAATGAAGACAGCGGTATTGAGCTTGCACCCCGGCGTCAGCTGACTGGTCTCGAATACGCCAATGGCATCGCTTTATTAGCTTCAAGCTTAAGTGATCTGCAATCTATGATGCTACGGTGGATAAGGTCGCTAAATCAATCGTATCATGCATACGCGCTAAGAAGGTCAAAGTGTTTTGAAGCTCCATCTGCGATCAAAAGAAGGCACCTCTCGAGATTGAAGTAGACAGCAATAAATACCTCGGACCGAGGTTGTTGCCAAATTGGCAGATTAGGGACAACATTCTCTCCCGAATCGATGCAACTTGCAGAAGTTTCTCAAGCCTTAGAAGGTGCCTATGGACCCTGGCGGGACATCTGTATCACCGCGAAAGTTCGTGTGTACCATAAAGCCGTGTGGTCTGTCCTCTACGGCTGTGAATGCTGGGTTATGCGCCTGGAAGATGGATAGAAACTGACGGTATTTGATCAATACTGCTTGAAGACCATCCTTCGAGTGAAGTACACGGACTTTGTCTCAAATGAGGCAGTCTAGACTCGCTGGAACAGTATCGCAAAGATATCCCATGCCATCTAAGAAAGAAGACTAGGGTGGTTTGGGCACGTTCTTCGTTGTCCATCTAACGAACTCTATGTTAATGCCCTCGATCCGGCACCGTTACCTCAGTGGAGCCATCGAAGAGGAGGGTCAACTCAAAACCTGGTTGGATACAGTTCTTTAAGACATGGGAGTGGTTCTTGGACTTTCGGTATTCGGCTTCCGGTGTTGGTGAAAAGAATTATCTGAACTGTCGCGGGTGGTCGCGCATGGAGAGGAACGTTTTGTGTCACAATCGATGCTGGCTAGATCAGACATGATCGCAGCCGTAACAAATTACAAGGAAAGGCCCCACCCCATATTTCCGCTGTGGTCTTAAAAATGAACAATAACCCAGCAGCACTCACGGGAAGAGAGCGTCGAGAATGCGTTGTCCGGTGAGAAGGGGATTATTTGCGGGCAATTTCTCCGCAACCGGACGCGGCGTTCGGACAGGCCAGACCTGCAGCATGGAGTGTTCCGTCACTTCACCGTCAAACTCTGTCTCCAAGACTTTGTCCTAGAGGATGAAGAGGGAAAAAAGAACTGTAAGGTTCCTCCGCCCATACACACATACCACAACTGCAGAGGGGGTTAAGTCCCACAGAGAAGCATGAAAAAAAAAGAAAACAAGAAGGCTCACTAAGATGGTGTAGTTTCCGGGCGGAGCGATCCACCGGATGGTGCCCTGGTCCTTCGGAGACAGCATAAGCTTGTGCTGTACCAGACTGTTCTCATGCACCGTGGCGTAGATATCTCCACCGGTTATGTGCATGCCCGGGCGCAGGCTTGGTA